TAGATTTAATCTAAGCTGAATCTGCCCAGCACTCACTGTGCTCACAGTGCCCAGAATCCCGTGGCTGTCACCCACAGTCCCCACACACACACACACACCTGGCCCTGACAGGCCGAGGGAACAGAACACCATCACTGTGGGTGAACAATCTCCACATTGCATTCTGCATAGGCACAGCAAGTGATGAGAATTGTGTTTTCCCTTCCTCTGAGGTTTAGAGAATGTGAATCCCAGAAATCCTTGGGAAGAATTGTGCCTTGCTGTTCTCTGTGAGGAGAAATGTGGCAGCACTTTGCTGCTACTGACTGGATGCCTCCCATGCTCAGCATTGCTCGCTGCCCTAATAATTGCACAAAGGAGCAAACAGATAACACAAAAATACCCGTATTTTTTTTAAAACTGATTTTTCTTTGCAGGGAAAAACATTCAAAAGCGTCCTGGAAATATTTTTTTTAAAATACTGACTAGTATTTTTCTCTATTTTCTGATGTTATTTTTTTTTTAATGGTCTTATGATCTGTTCCTGTGGTCTTTAACAGAAAAATGTCTGTGGGCTAGGAAGGATCAAGCCCATCTTTCATGTTGCATGCCTTATTAAGATCAGCACATTGTATCTCACTTCTGTGGAAAAGGCTTACCTCACCATCTAAAAATACCTGCTGAATACAAACAGCTCACAATTGTTTGGTGCAGCAGACAAAGCAGCACGGCATCAAAGTTACAGCCTTTTATTCTTATTTTAAACCACTTTCTAGGGAGATTAAACACATATGCAGCAATAGATCTTTGGAAAAGCCATAGGAAGTCTCAGTTGTCATAGCAGTTGTCATATGTCCTCCTTAAGGGGGCAGAAAGCAGAACACAAGCAGCATAATTTTATAAAAAATGTAGTATAGCAGAAAAAAAATCATGATCTTAATATAAGCACTCAGAGATCTGTTTTCAAGTGGAAAGGGAAGGAAAAAAAATCACTCGTGAAAATGTGAGATGTTTGTTTAGAAATAATGGCTAGGTTTTTAAACATAATTAGTTGGATTTCACAGAAGCATTGAGGTTGAAAAGAGTTCCAAGATCTTCAAGTTCAATCTTTATTTCCATCACCCAAGACTAAGTTTGTGTTGTTATTATGATGTTGGTTTTTTAAATATTTGTGGTTGTTTACATATTAATAAATCAGAGCAGATAATTGGAAAAAAGGTATTCATAAGTTTATTTTAATAGTAAACTCCAACAGTCCCAGTAAATCCAAACAGAGATTTTTAACTAAACATGAATCCCTGTCCATGTGCTTGGACTGTACCTGTCAAAATAGTCTCTTTTTTTTTGTTTTGAGGTACTCAAATGTCTTTTAAAAATCACATTAAAACACTCCCTGACTGAAAACTTCAACTTTGCCAGTTCTAGAATGGGAGACTATAGGATTTTATTTTAAAGTATTTCCAGTACCACCTGATGTAAAAACATGCAGGTGGGACTTGCTGCTTTTGACTGCATTGATGTGGGTGTGAATAACAGAGGAGGAAATGAAAGCATCAATAAAATAAACAACCAAAGAAATGCTGTAAGCTGGTTAGTCTGGAAGAGGGGGTTGGAGGTAAGTGTTAATTATCTGGTAATTATATTTCCATTGTGAATTAGGTCCTGTAGCAATGTAGGAATTGGAAAATTTGTTAGGAACCTATGGCTCAATTTATAAAGCTGAAGCTGAGCAGCAGAATCTTGCTCAAAGGCATACAGCCCTTGTTGCAGTGACAGGGGCAGAACAAACTGAGGTCATTTTCCATGATGGAGTGATTTTAACTCTCTTGCTGAGTAAATTGGCTGAATGTGAATATTGGGGAGGCTGAAGTCCTAAAAACTTCCAGTGATAGGAGCTACAACAAAGCCTTTTCTCAAAGTCCTTGCAGACCAAACCCCTTGGGAGATGCCTGTGCATAAACTGTGCCTAATCTTAAAATGGATAAATGATGTAAAATTATTTACAAAACAAGTTACTATTGTATAATGTCAAATATGACTCATCATGCTGGAAGCCATTCAGAACTAGTTTGGAAATGTAACTGTGATATCTGTTATTGCTCTTTACAGACAGTGCATTCTGTCCCCTTGCTATTCATCCGTTACCTGGCAATTTTTTTCTAAGCAGGATTATTTACATCACTGATTGAGGATAGGGGTTTTCACATCTTTATTACAGGGATAATTGCTTCTTCCTTTTCAGTACCACCTTTTTGTTCAACAGCAATTTAGAGACAATATGGAAAATCTCTGGCAGCTATTTAAAGGACTGTTGGTGTGGATGAGTGAAATGACAAGGCAGTATATGTGTGGGAAGGTACAGCAAGTTTCTTGTAACTGAAGACTCAATCCTGAATTTATTACACATTTATTACATCACTTTAGATGTGGAAGATGAGCTGTCTGCCCCACCACAGAGGTACAGAAGTGTCTCCTAGAGATGCTGACAAGGGAAGGAGGCACAGGGCTGCTGCTTAGCTCTGCCTCCTCCTTTCTGAGCCTGTGTGTGTCAGCTGAGGTAAGGTGGAACACAGGTGGGAACACTGCATTTTGGAGAGCCCCTGGAGTGCCCCACATCCCTCACTCAGGCTCTTAGTGACTGACCACAGTCTGAGCCAGCTGACTGTGGTTGGCTATTAATTAGAAACAACCACATGAGACCAATCCCAGATGCACCTGTTGCATTCCACAGCAGCAGATAACCATTGTTTACATTGTGTTCCTGAGGCCTCTCAGCTTCTCAGGAGAAAAAGATCCTAGCAAAAGGATTTTTCATAAAATATGTCTGTGACACCAGACTCTGGAAAAACTGCTGGCACTGCTTGTGCCTGATGAGCTGCCTCTCCAGTACTTTGTCTTGTCACTGTGCCAAATCCACACGCTGAAGCCATCTGTGCTCCTCAGGGCCCACTGCTGCTGCCCATCCTTGTGCACACACAGCTTCTGCGTCTTCCCAAACCTCGGGAATTTCCTGCTACAAACATTGGAGCATAACCTTGTATTTTAACCCTATGGAGAGGCAAATTGTTTCACTTTGTTACTGCAACAAAGATGATGCTGTCACAGTCATGGAGAGTCAGCATTTCAGTCCAGTTTACCAGCACTGGGCTCTGGCCTGCCAGGTTTTGAAGTACATGACTGCGCTTTCAGAAGATGAAGGGGGAAAAAAGAGTTGTACTGATGTAAACAAAATATCAACCATCTAGATAATCTATGTGAAAAGGTGCATTTTAACAGCCTCTGAGGTGAAGGAAACATGCAGGATTGAGGGAAATAAGGACAAAACTCTTTTTGTGGTTCACACAAACCTACTGCTGCACTAAGCAATAAGAAAGACAGGAAAGACATCTGCAAGGAGAGAGAAGCTCTCAGCTAACGTGGCTCCCAGCCTTGCTGTCCAGTGGCACATGGCAGGTTGCTATCAGCTGTACACTACTGATCTGCAGTAGTTTCTGCTTTCTCTGTGAACTGAAACAAAACTTAAACCAACAGTAAAGGGCTTTATTTACTCAAATAATTCCCACTCAGCTAAGCCTGGCCATTTGGGCAATTGGATATGTATGGTATAGGAACATCTTTTGAAACAGCTTTGTGGGTGATTTATAATCTAGAACCACACACTCCCACATCCTCTGATGTGATTCCTTAGCCATAGAGTAAATCCAACATTCAAAACCAGGTCTTAAGAAGCACACACAGCTCTGGCTTTCACATAAAGGATGCAGAGAGAGAAGAATGTGATGGTTTCTCTAGGTTCTTTCAATGCCTTTAAATGAAAGTGTTCATGGCACTAATGCAAGCAGAGGCTCGGATGACAAGAGACATGGCTGCAGTTTCAAAGGAACATATGACAGAAAATGAAGAGAAGAATGTTTAAAGTTTTAAATACCCCAAGTGACCAACAAAGTGTAAGTGCTGCTTAAGTGTCTTGTAGGACACCTTCTCTGGTGCTAGACTGAAATTCTCATTTCAAATTAATGTCTGAGATACCTTTTTATAATCTGCATTTTCACTAGACTTTAAAAGAATTATTATGAACAGTTAATACGCTGAAGAGAGCAACTGCCAGCAACCAAAGGAAACTGAAGGCAGTCTTCAGCCAAGGATACAGCTTTTTATCAGCCCAAACACCATTATGTTAATATCCAGATTCTCCCTTCTCACCTCAATTCTGAAGGCTAAGCCAGGAAACTGTGTCAAGACTGCACTCTCAGGACAGCACTGGGCAGTACTGAGATGTGAAAGACAAAATACATAGTTCAAGGGGTGGTGAAAAGCCTCTCTATCTTGAGTAGGTCAGAAATGCAGCAATTGCAGTACTGAGCCCATGCACAATGTGCATAATGCTCTCTGGGGAAAAGAAAACGTTTTTGCACTGTAAGTAGCCCACCAAAAGAGATAACACAAACTTCTGGAAATGAACTGGCAAAGTGATGACATAGTAACTGTTTCCCTGTTCGTTTTTCGAAATCCTGAGGTTAGCACTGCCCTCTTGTGGAAAGAAATGAATACAACTAATAACAGGATTTTTAATTTAATGGTTTAACTTTCAGTGTTCATTATAAATACTTACAGACTCAAAAGAAACCCACATGAGAAAACGAGAACAATTATTATACACATAATAAAATGGCATTCTTGATCTAAGTACACAGGATTTATAAAGGTTTCTATTTCTTCTTTTACTAGTGACAAAATTATCCCATTTGTACGGACCTGCCATGACTCTACTTTTCTCTTTTCAAAAAGGCACTAAATTCCTAAGCAGTGCAAGTCATTAGGAAACAGAAAAGAAATGCTGTCATCCACATGTTCAAATACATACATATGTGAAAAAACTTTCTACATGAGGACTTGGAGAGAAGCTTAATTGTGGAGCTTGAAATAAGCATCAAAACCAACAGGTGGGCACCTGAGCTTGCTCAGGTCAGTCACACACAGACACACAGACAGACAGACATAACTGACCCGACAGTTACACACATTTTGGCTGACTACACACGAGGCCACTTCCAGCTGACAGGAAGTCTTGGCACGGAAGCAATAAAACATGCATGGAAAACAAACAAACGAAACTGGCAAAACCATAGTGTTCAGAATTAGTTCTTAAGTTTCTTTGTGACTGCTTCCACATCCATTGTCCCACAATGGCAAGGTGCTGCTGAGTCTTCAGAGGTAAACAGCAAAAGCCACACGATGAGTAAGTGCCACCGGGCTGCAGGAACTGACAGTTACTGGCAGTAAACATCAAACGTCTTCTCCTCACAACTCCTGTGTTATCCAACCTGCCACTAAAGAAACAAACAAAACACACCACAGGTTTGTATGAAGATAAGGAAAAGAAAGGAAAAAATCCCAAAGCAAACAAACACTGTAAAGTTGTCGAACTACAATAAATTCTCCATTTCACCTTTAAATTCTCAATTAATCTTTTATCCCAGCAAGTGGTGGACATGCAGTGTATCAGTGGCAACTTACACAAACTCCTGCCTCCTGAATCATGTATGGTACTGAGGGCAAAGATGAAGGCTTGTGAAGCCTGGGTTCCAATGATCAGACACATCTATTGTTTTGGAGAGGCTGTAATTCTTCACTAACTCTCTGCCTGTCCCTCTGAGGTAAAGTTCCCATTAGAATAGCAACAGTAGTAATTTTATGCCAACACTGGATGTTTCTTTTGTAATGAGAGACACACAACCGCCAAACCACTGCCCTACTTAGTGCAAATGTTTTCTGTAAGCTCTGAAGGGAGAGAGACAACCTCAGCTGGCACTGAAAGGGACACTGGGTACAGGGCAGCACAGTGACGAGGGCCCCAGTGCTGAAACCTGCAAAACTGATGCATCATGTGTGTAGAAACTGGGAAGAGGGGAGGGGGAAAAGCAGCTCTGCCATGGCTGCTGTGCTGCTGTCTTTCTGTCCCAGTGATGAAGCCTCACTAAGAACACTGCATGGCAATGACACATCCTCCCATTTCTATTCCATCTCCCTCCCTCTTGGTTTTTCCTCAAGTCATTCAATCTTCTACATGACAAAACAGATTTTCACAGTGAATATATGGCTAGTTGAATCACATTGTTTCTTTTTAAAACTTACTCTCAGTCCTCCTTCTCCTCCAGGACGTGAAGCTGCCATTCTTCTTTCTATTTCCTCCTGCTTCTTTTTCTTCTGCTCTACAGACTGCACATTCTTAATACCTCGAGAGGAAGCCTGGGAGAAAACACATTTGAGTAAGACCAAGTTAGTGATTTTTCTGGAGAGAAACCAAACTACAAGTGTTGCCAACACTGTTTTATGAACTGTGGTTTGCATGGAAAGACTGAAGCACTTAGTGATGCTACTGTTGCATCAAGGCTGCCCTTCCAGGAAATTTCCTCCTTCTGAGAACTCTTGGTCCCACAGGTAAGTGAGGGTGGTTTTGTTTCCCTTTGTTATTACATCCAGGTGAAGATATTTTAATCCTCAGATGCAGAACCAGAAGTCCACAAATTTTTAGTCTGTTTTTTTCACTATCAGAGCCTACTTTTCCCCTCATGAACAGGGGAGGGAAAGACCTGTGTTAGTAGTGCTAGCCCAGGCTGTGAAGAAGTTAAACTTTTCAGCTGTGATCTCTGAGAAATACCCTGCATGACAGTCCACCCTTCAAAATGTCACAGGGTGTGTGGGCAGCAGAATGAAAAATCTGTTCTGAACTGCATGCTCCATATCGTTGTGGAACTGTTCAATGACAATCTAGACTAGATGGCAGGAGCATCAGAATTACAGTTAACACCATGAACTAGAAAAAAAGAAATTTTAAAAACTGATTCTTATCTAAGTTTAGGGTTATAATAACATAGCAGAACTCATACAAAAGATGCTAAAATCCATCAAGGCAAGCCAGCAATGTTCTCACCTGAATTTCAAGGTCCTGACAACAAGCTGTTCTCAGTGGGGTACCAAGACAAATCTTAGCAGAAAATAACAACCCACTTCGCCCACATGTTCTCTGCCTCTTAGGAAACTGGCTGTCCAAGTGAGCCAGGTCCCCAGAGTGCCTGGGCACCCCAAAAGGAAGCACAGCTCACATGATGTCAGGAGGGATAATGAGCAGCTGAGAAGCAGAGAAGGAAGGACATCTGATCTACTCCCTTGTCCCCTCACAAGGGTGAAACTAAGTATGGCTGCTTGCAAAACATCTCCATTATCCAACACTTAAAGGCTAAAATCACCTCAAAGATAGTCCTGAAAAATCCTTTAGATACTTTATCTCTCTGTCTTCCAAGAAAACAAAAAGCAACAGAGTGATATTTGCATTTTTCTTTGCCAGCATAATGGGTCCCACAAAGCTTCAAGGACATCCACAACTCTAATTGCTTCACTTCTCACTCCTCTCAGGAAAGCTTTTCAGCCAGTTAAGAGCTGGCTATTTCCTACAGTTATGCTTAAAAACCCATTTGTGGTTGAAAACAACATGTGGATTGCTTTTAGTACATAGAATGACACAAAATCAAGGATTTCAGGAGTCTCATGCATCACTCAGCTGTTGCTCCAATTATTTACTAAACTCCCTTCAAACCAGGTCAACGTGGTCCTGAGCACAATGGCCAATTCATAATTCAATGTGCAATGTCACTAACATTCACACAAATAGCAATCCTTTCTCTTCACAGTTCAGCTGTGCTCTCCAAGACACACCATCCCAAATCTACAATAACAGTATATGCTCTAAGTCTTTTTAGAGCTATGTAAGGAAAATAAACCAGGCTGGCTGTTCTGCTAGAACATTTGTATCCTACCTCTTCTAACTTTAAAGATATCTAAGCTTGGCAATCTTAAAAAGACAAAAGACTGAGTTAATACTACATCTTTGCTGGAATCCGAGCTTATAAACATGTTCAAAATTTGTTTATAAACATGTTCAAAATCTGTTGCCTTGTTGACAAAGAAGAATCTGCAAGTGTATACAACTTGCAGTTTTAAGAAAAGTACAAGTGCAGTACCACTTGAAATTGCCACTGCAATTGTTTGAATACTTCTCTATCTCTTGTTTTCAAGTCTTAGAACAAGGAAAAATTAATGTTGAAGTTGCTGTTCCAGTTCTTAGGTTGTTTTACAAACTACTGTAAAATATCTCCCATCCAAACAAGCACAGTTAATGTGCAATGGTCTTAGAGCACCTACCTGTGAAATTCTTAATAGATGTAAAAAAGGTACAAATGTACAACATTAATAATACCAAGAAAGTACTTAACAAAAATTCCCACAATCCAAACATGATACCCAGTGTCACCAGAGAAGCCACAGCCATTGTTCCCATAAACCAGTTACCTAAAAATAATTTCAACAAATGACATTTTATCAGACATTACCTCCATCTGCCTCTTTTCAGCAGCTTCTGCTAGTTGTCTTCTTTTTATTTCCTAGATAAAATGTTAAAGACAGTGAAATTCTACTTCAATATAGTCTTTGCATTCTTTTTAAAGTCTTAATTTTCAAGTATGACTCAAATCTGTGATACTAACTCCCACAAAATGACAACTCCAAGGTAATTAGCATCATCTGTCCCTGCACTGCCAGCCTGCAAGAACAAAGTGTTTTTAGTGACTAATATGCCAGAAGAGCTGACATATATACAGTCAAACCCCACCAGAAATCACTATTCAGCTCTTCTGCACCTTCACTCAAAACACCCAGCCTGGGGTGAAATGGCACGGAGTGTATGAAACATCCTTTTAGAGTCTGGGAAGGGGAATGCTTGCTCTCCCTACAAAGGGGGCTCCCTTCCTTCTCTCCCGCTTTTCCTAGCCCCCACAGACACGGGCTAGGAAAAATGTCATGCAGTGGAGGGCAGTTAGAAGCGAGCATCGCTATCCACCGGGAAAAAACAAGCACAGCTTTTCCTATTTCTTTTAAAAATGGGGCTCAGTTGGCCACAGTTATGCACTAACACGCCCCACGGGAACCCCCGGTCTGCACAGAACCACAGTGCCCACGGGTGTCCGTGGGGCAGGGCAGGGCAGCAGGAGGAGGTTCTGCCCGGTCTGCACAGACCCACGGTGCCCAGCATTGTGACCGTGGGGCAGGGCAGCAGGAGGAGGTTCCGCCCGGTCTGCACAGAACCACAGTGCCCACGGGTGACCGTGGGGCAGGGCAGGGCAGCAGGAGGAGGTTCCGCCCGGTCTGCACAGAACCACAGTGCCCACGGGTGACCGTGGGGCAGGGCAGGGCAGCAGGAGGAGGTTCCGCCCGGTCTGCACAGAACCACAGTGCCCACGGGTGACCGTGGGGCAGAGCAGCACCAGGAGGAGGATCCGGGGCCCAGGCCCGAGCTGCGGGGTGCCCCCAGCCCCAGAGCTCTCCGCAGCCCGGCCCGGGGGCCAAGGACCGGCTCCCTTTGCCCGGCACAGCCTCCCGGGGCACTGCAGCGGCCCCGCGGCCCGGCCTCCATGTCGGGGAGGGAGGGAAGGAGGGAAGGAAGGAATGAAGGAAGGTCACCGCCCCCGCGCTCCCCGCACCGCGGCCGCCCAGGCGGTGACAAACAGCGGGGAAGGACAGGGCAGCCCCCGCCGCCCTTCACTCACCGGGTCCGGCGTCTCCACCACGTCCTTGACGGGGTCCCCCATGCAGGGCAGGCACTGCCCCATGGCGAGCCCCGGCAGGCAGCGGCCCCGCGGAGGAAGCGGCGGCAGGGCCCGCCCCGGCCTGGGACCGGCGGGGGCGGAGGCTGGAACGGGGACGCGCGAGTGCCCCCGGTAGTGAATTCCGTGGAAGGTGTTCCATGGTGAATGCTGCCTGTGACGGCACGGGAGCACGGTGCGATGGGTATCGGGGCCCGCGGGCAGGCAGCATTGCCGTGCCGAGCCCGCCCGGGCTGCCCCCGCTCAGCTGTGAGGCCCGGACCTGTCTCAGTCCGGTGATCGAAGGTGGCGCTTTCTGGCTCTTCTGCTGTTTCTTCCAGTTTTTCTTAAGAGAAAAGGAAGAAACCTTCTCTTCCAGTTATTTATAGTAGACTCCGGCATTACCGTATTTCCTGAAATTTAGTGTTTCAATTTCCTGAAATGGAGTGTTTCAATTTCCTGAAACTGAGTGAACTTGATTTATGTGTTTGGTGTGTACATCAATCCCCAAGTTATGCGAGGAGTATAAAATGTGTGAAAAACGCAAACCACTTGTTTTTAAAGTTTTAAAAGTTAAATAGTAATAAAATGGTTATAAAAATAATAATACAATTAGAGTAATAATAATTTGGACAATTTGGATTAGGACAATATGAGACAATAAAAACGAAGAGCTGCGGACAGTCCAGGTACCTCTTTCTGGGCAAAATAAGCCCAAAAAAGGCCCCACGTTAACAGAGGATTAGCCCTTAAAAGCAACAGCCTGTTGCATATTCATACACCTCATGCATGATGCATAAATTCCATTCCAACACAGGATTCTGTCTGGGCAGTGTCAGCTTCTTCCCCTGAATCCTGACGGCATCTTCGTGCCTGAGCAAGGTGGGAAGAAGTTCATTTCTTCTGATAATGGAGCAATAAATTCTCTATCTCTGAAAGATTCAGGTGTTCTGTGGCTGCTACCTCGCTGCAAGTCCTTTCTTTAGAAAGAGATATCTTACATAGCACAGTTTCTATTTTAACATTTTGTTATAAGCTAAAACTATATTTAACACACTACTTAAGAGAATTAATACAGCATAACTTTCTAACACAACATATATAATATTCATTTTAATATTTGCGAAAAGCCAATCATAAAATATGCATTTTTTCACAAATGTATTCTTAATAAAGGATCATGCAACATCTGCCAAGATTCTTGTCTACCTCGGTAATTTTGAACAAGGTTTATCTTTTTTGTTCTTCTCCTAGCATTTATTTCATGAGCTTGTGATGCCATACTTTGTTGTGAAGTACGCATTTAAGTTTTTGTATTTGTTCCATCCATCTGTAATCAGGCATAAAATCATGTGATGGTAGAATCATAGAGTGGGGTGGGTTAGAAGGGATCTTAATAACCCTCGTCTTGGTTTGAAAAGACAGATGTCCACTAAGGAAGGCAAGAGTGTCTCTTAATGTAAAGTCCCTCCCTTCAAATGATTATAATTTTGAAATGAGGGGCTTTCAGGCAAAGATAATTATGTTTAATGAGTTTTGAATATCTGATTTAAGAAAAAATATGTATTGAAAATGTCCGTGACCTCTCTGCAGGGTTTTGGGAGTGCGTTAGGAGATCTGAAAATTTGTTACCGATTAATTTTAACAGTTTAGTGATGCTGACATTTGTGCAAGACTACTACTGAGTTGTGCCATATGCTGACTTTTATAAATGTGGTTTACTATCTGCCTCTTATCTTCTTGATATCCAGCAGGTGGTACTGTTGACACAAAAATATCCTGTATTTTCCAAATCAATAATCACACCTTCAATTTCTTGTTTTGGTTTGATATTCCCAGCAGTTGTATTATTGCTATTGCATGTGAATCTGGAGAGAGATGCCAGTTCTGCCTGATAATTTATACCAGCGTTGGTGTTCAGGGCGCTGTGGCCCGGAGTGGCCAGCTGGGTGCTGAAATTCCGCATTGTGCAGGATGCCTCCCAAACCCAAGCTGGCACCAGTGCCAACTCAGGCAGGTTTGGCAGTGCCAGGTGGCTCCTGCACTCTGCCATCAGGAACCTGGGTCAGTTTTGTTTGCCAGGGAAAAGGGCCGGTGTTGATGTTCAGGGCGCTGTGGCCTGGAGTGGCCGGCTGGGTGCTGAAATTCCGCATTGTGCAGGATGCCTCCCAGACCCAAGCTGGCACCAGCCCTAAAAGAAAGAAGAAACAAGAAGGGAAAGCAGACTCCTGCCACAGTAACTGGTAAGAACAGCACGGTAGTAAGGAAGAAGGGGGACAAGAGCAGAATGAGGTTCCCCTCTTGCCACAAAGAGTCGCTGATCCTCTGTGGAGGGGAGGCGTGGCTGGGAGGGTGGCCTGTGGCAGACCCCCATTTGTATTGATCCTGCTGCTTATCAATACCAGTGAGGGGGGCTCTCCGCCGTGTGAGAAGTGTTACTGTCCTCCACACGCAGGAGACTCTTGGACTGCCGTCCTCAGAACCCACACAAATCCCAGCCCCAGTTGTATCAACTTTTTGTCATTAACAACCTGTATTTGGTGTCATTTTTGAATAGCCAGTATGTTTTGTAAATGTTCTTGGCAAGTTCTACAGGGATATAGCAGGGGCATGGTCCAAAGGGGCAGAATAACATCCAGAAACAGAGTCAGCACAATAAAACCAGCTCCATGGAAGGAGACTGGATGAAAGACCAAACCAATCATTCGACGCCTCAAGGAAATGATTGGTCAGGAATGAATGACAATAAAGACCATTAGGAACACCAGAAACAAGCCAATCACCCCGTGGATCCAAAACCACCAATACTGGACCCGAAGGGGGTTATAAAAATTGGGGTTCAATTGAGTTTGGGGTTCTTTTGAGGAACTCGCTTCCTGGAGAACCCACTGTGTGTGTGAGGTAGACCCATTTTATTTTCTTTTTGACTTATTGCGTGGGGGGTCTGAGCCTATCTCAGGCCATGCATCTCCTGTAGCTCTTTTTAAATAAACAAGAGCCTTTTTCTCTGAAGAAAGTCTGCCCTCATTCGTCCATAACACCAGCACCTTGAAAACCATTTTCCCTGGGGACCTTGCTTAGCAGTTCCCTGAGCAGCCTGGATTCTGCTCTCTTCATGCTCCGAGCTGAGGCTTTGCTGGCCCTTTTGCTCTTGTCAGAGGTTTGAGCCTCCATTCATTTGTGGCGGCTGTGGCCAAGAGGGCCCCAGTGCCCGCTTGGCCCAGGGCACGTGGGGCTCAGCTGGTGGCCTGGCTCTAGGGGGGCTGAGCTGGAGAGCCCTGGGCTGAGGGGGCTCCTCCCTTACTGGGAGGAGGCTTCCCGGGGATGGAGGAAGGCTCTGGCATGAGCCACGAGCCCTGGTGCGCATTGCCTGCTGCCGACGGGAGGGAAAGAAAGAGGCAGAGTTCACCAGGGCTCAACCTGAAATGAGCTTCTGCTGCTTCTGGTTCTTCTCAGAGCTTTGGAGAGGAGACGTCTCTGTCCCTGACACCCGCCGGCCCTTGCAATGCACACAGGGACCCGTGTGTCACTTGAGGAGACACGCCAAGAAGCCGCTGTCACTTTCAAAGGGCAGCTGTTGTTTCACTGTTGCGTTTCTTGGCTGTGTCAAGCCCCTCCTACCCGCACTACAGCCTGTGCTTGGAGACACAAAAGGAGCATCCTGGAGGACAGGCATGGAAAGCTTGACAAAGGCTGAAGGGAGCACTCAGATGTCCCCTTTCCCCAAGAGGTTTCTTTAGCTGAAGTTCCTGACAAGAGCCAGGCTTGACACGCCGCAATGGGTTTGTTGTTGTTTTATTTCTCGGGCCCTCAGTCCTGCGTGGGATTCTGGAAGTGGGTGCTGCAGAGGCTCCTGCAAGGCGTCAAAAGCGCCTGCCCCGCACCCAAGGGTGGCGCAAGATCTCCTCCAGGTGCGGCCTGTAAGCGGGGTGCTTGGCCAAGCACCAGCGGATCAGGTGCTGGCACTCTGCGGAGAGAAGGCAGACAGCGCCGGTCACCGGCAGAAGGCTCCTGCCCGGCTGCCCCCGGCGCCCGCGGGGCCCGGGCCGCGCTGCGTGCGCTCGGGGCTGCGCCGGCCTCCCGAGCGACCGCGCCCCGCGGGCAGAGAGCGGCACGGCGGGACACGGCCGCCTCCTTCGGCCGCGGGGCCGCGCTGACCCCGTGGGCACGGCCGCCTCCCGCGGCCGGCCCTGGGGGCGGATGGACGGTGCCCGGAGCCGCGTGAGGGCCGCGCGCCGCCGGCTGCCAAAGCCGCCTGCTCGGGGCCGGACACCAACCTGGAGAGACCTGCTGCCAGAAGAAGGGCTGCCCCAGCACGATGGCACGGTCGTCCTCGAAGGGGAGGCTCCCGCAGACCATGACGTACAGCAGCACGCCCAGGGACCAGACGGTGGCCTCATGGCCGTCGTAGCAGCCCAGGCAGACCCACTCGGGCGGGCTGTAGGCGTGCGTTCCTAGGGGAGACGGGCAGCGCTGTCCAGGCGCGGGCTGCTGCCTTCCAGAGCCCAGCGCCAGGCTCCTGGCTGAGGCAGGGGCTGCACCCGCGGCCACAGCTTCCCCCCCGAGGCCACCCCGCGTCCCCCAGCCAGCTGGCCAAAGCCAAGGAACCATTCTGCCAGGCAAAGGAGGCCGGCGGAGCGGCCCAGGCCCTTGTGGGCCTGCCGAGCCGGGAGGCCCGGAGCCGCCTTTGGCCGCCCCCTCTGCGGGCAGGGCCGGCAGCCGGGTCCCGGGGCACGGCGTCTGCCCCGGGCCAAAGGGCAGCCGGCTGAAGGCCGCAGCCCAGGAGGGAGCGGGACCCTGCAGTGCCTGGCACCGGGAGCGGGGCCCGGGCCATGGGCTCACCGGCAAACCGCGTGTAGGCCCGCTCCTGGAGGAAGGTGCCGCAACCGAAGTCGATGAGCTTCAGGTCGCCGCTCTCCGGGTCCACGAGGAGGTTCTCCGGCTTGATGTCCCGGTGCAGGACGCCGCAGGCGGTGCAGTGTCGCACGGCCTCCAGCACCTGGACGAAAAGCCAGCGCGCCATCTCCTCGCACAGGAACCCCTGCTCCAGCAGGAACTGCAGGAGATCCTGCCATGCCTCCGGACGCTCCAGCACCAGCACGAAGCTGTCAGGCAGCTCGAACCAGTCGAGGAGCTGGATGATGTTGCAGCAGCCAGAGCCCACCTTCTCCATCAGCACGATCTCCATGGGCACGCGGGTGCCGTCGGGCTGCGAGCAGGAGAAAATCATTGCCTGCGGCAGGCCTGATGCTGCCCTGGGGCTGCTGCGCTGCGCCCTGCCTGCGATGCCCCCGTGCCCCCTGGCGCAGCCTCCCCGGTGCTGG